AGGTCCCGGAGGAGTGTGGCACCAGGGCTGGGGACTGTCTCTGGACGATGGCAGCTGACGGGGAGAGGCAGGAACAGGGTGGGGCATCTGCTTGTCCATTTCATAGGCAAGTCCCTCCTCACCCCTGAGCTGGGGAAGCTGGGAACACCCTCCCTGGTCACCATGGAGCTCACCCACACTACACAGAGGCTGGAGCAGGGACCCTCCTGCATGCCCCATGGACAGGGGGCCGCTAGGTGGGTGGGACCCCAGAGTGAACCTGGGTCACGGAGGCCTAGAGAGGCAGCCTGGGGGTGGTCATCAGGCCCCGTCCTTCTAGACGCACAGACAGGTGTTCCTGTCCCCAGGGCAGAGGGCCACACCATTGGCATGTGGAAAAATGGAGCCCCAAATGGGTGTGCAGAGCTCTCAAGCATGGGTGGAGCTACGAGCTGGCCCCCACTACGGGCTGGGATGGCCCCCAAGTGTGGCCCTGGACAGAGGAGGGGAGGGAGGAGGGGACACCACCAGGGAAGGGCTGACAGGACCCCCTTTCTGTGTGGGCAGGGCCTGTCTGCAGGGGCAGGGGCTCTTGGCCCAGGCCTCACACACAGTGGGCACACCCTGGTGCTGCCCGAAGTGTGTCTACCTACAGCTGCCTTCCCCATGGCCTGGCCTGGAAGTCTGTGAGGGCCCCATGGAGCAAAGAGAGGGGGCTCCTACAGTCCCAGACAGGAGGCCCCACCGGCCCTAAAGCCCCTCCTGGCCCATAGAAAGCCGAGACCAAGAGATGTGGGTCAGTGCCCACACCCAGGCCCCCATGCTGGGTCCTGGGTTCAGAGGGAATGTCAGCACAGGTAGGGGTCTGTACCCAGAGACACAGAGCATCAGGGGGCTCAAAGGGGACCCTGTAGGCCAGAAACCCTGCAACCCAAGCAGGCCCCATGGCGGCATGTCAGGTGCAAGCAGGACTTGCGGGCTGGGGACCTGGGCCGGTTGGGCCACGGCCCCACTAGAGACAGAAGGAGTTCTGGGAGGGACGGCGGGCAGCCAGAGGAGGCCCTGGACCCCAGGCACCCTTCCAGCTGAGCTGAGCTGGGCGGAGCCTGTGTCCTTTTACGCCCGGAACAGCCTGGCAACCTGCCCGCGAGTCGGGAACTGCCTGAGAATGCTAATGGGGTCTGCGGCGGTAGAGAGGGCTCCGCCACAGAGATAAGTGCCGAGGTCCTGGGCCCCGTCCCACCCTGACCAGGACCCTGGCCCGTGTGCTCTGGGTCAGTCTGGGCAGTCCCCGTCTGGCCAGCTCCAAACAAAGCCTGCGTTCTTCCTGGCTTGTGTGGCCTCAGCTCACCTGGCCAGAAGTGGGGTGCAGGGGCCCTCTGTCAGGGCCCCCAGAGCAGCTGCAAGGGGACCCTGAGAACACAGGCCCAAGAATGAACAGACCAGTGATGCAGCAGCCACCAGGAGGGACACATGCACCCCTGGGGCCAAGCACTCCCCAAGTGCCAGCAAGGCAGGGGCCGTGATGAGGGGGTTCCAGGCATGTTCCCGCAGGCCCTACCTCAGACTTCAGAGCTGCCAGCAATACAGGCATTAGAATATGTGGGACACACACCGGCTCTCACAGCAGCAGGATTCACAACACCAAGAGGTGGAAACAGCCTGTGTGTCCCTCCACAGATCCCTGGGCCCACATGGGTGGTCCCCCCTGCACACGGTGGGGGCTTAGTCAGGACATCCCGGCACCTGCCACAGCGTGCACGTCCCCTGAGGATGCGTGCTCAGAGAGGGAGGCCACAGGTCCTGCGTGACTCCATTTCCATGGGGTCCCAGGAGTCGTCAAATCCAGACACAGAAAATAGAGGGCACCAGGGGCAGGGGTGGGGTGGGGCGGGCAGCCGGTGTTTCCTGGGGACAGGGTGTCAGTTGGGAAGGTGACAGAGTTCTGGGGATGGGGCGCATGGTCACATAATATGTGAATGTGCCTGGTGGCCCTGAACTGCACACCTAACCCCGTTTCGGTAAATTCTGTGTTATGTGTATTTTACCACAATTAGAAATGAGTGGAAAGATTCAACTAATCCCTGGATGGGGGAAGAACACTCACTTTTTAAAAAAGTGGAAGAATTTCCCAATTTCCCAAAGGCAGGTTTGACTTTGTGAATATGGGAAATGCTGCTGCACATTCCAGCCTTGACGCCCCTCACCAGAGCACGGGCGGGAGAGCTTCCCCGCTGGGGAGGGCACAGGGGTCCGTGCGGACGGGCAAGGCAGGACAGGGCTTCTGAGCGCAGGGGAGCGGGGACCCCCTTGGCTGGTCCTTCCACTGCATGTGGGCACCCAAGTGTTCTTGCTTCCAGGGGCCCGGGCCCCACTGTCCTGTCCCTCAGGGAGGAGGCCCAGGACGGTGGCTCCGGAGGACTTGTGGGCCGACCCACCATCAGAAGGCCCAGCAGGGTCGCAGCCTGGGGTCAGGAAGTGGGGGGCCCCGGGCAGCCACAGGGCTCCTCCCCAGCTCCAGGGGCCTCTGGGATGACCCCCAGGGGCTCAGTTGGAGGAGGGTGAGGACTGCACCTGCCCCCAGCAGGGTGTGGGGGTGTGGGGAGAGGTCGGGGTCTCTGGAACTGGCCCGAGGGTGACTCCTGGGTGACCCCATCCTCTGGCTATCCTCTGAGGCCTGGGACCACAGAGCAGGGGTGCAGTGAGGGGTGCGGTGCTGGCCCAGAACCGCATCGCTACTCAGCAACAGAGGCTCGGGCAGTCAGTTCCAGCGCCCTGGCAGGCCCCCCGCTGGAGGAGTGCCCCGCCTCCTGTTCCGGTGACCCCTACCCCTTACCCTCCAGGGCAAAGCCCCTGACCCAGGGCTCCACCCACTGCTGCCCTCAAACCGCCCTGGTGAGGGGCTGCCTGTTTCCTGAGGGAGAGTCGGGTCCCACGGTGGCAGGTGAGCAGAGCGTGCGGCCGTCCCACCGGGGCTGGACAGCCAGTCCACACGGACTTCGTCAGGAGGCCCCCTGCTCTTCCCCTCCTCAGGGGCCCCCTGCCCCTGCACCTCAGAGCACCCGACCACACACGGCCACCATCTGGGATGGGGCTACCGTGTGTGCAAACATCAGGGAGGGGTGGGCGCCCTCCTGCCCTGAGGCAGGGGCTGGAGAGGGAGGCCTGGCCCACCCCAATGTTGGGATGGACCCAGGCAGCACCTGGCATGCCCATGAGCACAAATCTGGGACAGGTAAGGCTGTCAGACAGGCAGCCTGCAGTGGGAGAGCCCCAGGGGGGAGAGCAGGGAGGGGGGCCCCAGGCTCTGGGTCAGGACCTCCGGGTAGGGCCCCACCAGGGCAGAGTCCCTGGACGGGATGGGTGGGGGCGTCACAGCCCAGCGGTCTCCTGGGTCTTCGTCCCCACTGGCCCTTGAACTCCAGGGTCCAAAGGGGCCCTGATAAGCGATGGGCAGAGGACCTCCTCTCAACATCATCCCTTCTCTGACACCCCCAAAGGACTCCCCAGCCCTCTGTGCTCCCCAGGCTCCCCTGAGAAGTCCTCCCACCCCAGGCCACCTGGGGAGGGGCCCTTCCTGAGCCACCCCAGGCCCCCGACACAGCTCCTGCTGATGGGGCCTGGCTGAGAGGGGCCCCCACCACTCGGGTCCCCAGGGCAGGCCAACTCCCATTTCGCTCATCGTGGGGATACATCATCAGCTCTGCCTGTGGGGGCCGCACCCCTCTGAGCCTGAACCCTGCCCTGCTGGGCAAATAGACCCTCCCATCTGCACCCCACCCCGGGGGCTGCCTCGTCCTGTCCCCGACGGCCGGATTTCCTGAGCGATGTCGCCGTGGAGCCACTGGAGCCCAGCGGCCAATAAAACCCATCCATGCGGAGAGTGAGCCCGCGAAGCAGGCGGCCAGAGGGTTTGCTCTGCACACCCGCCCCCACTCGGGCCTGGGGACCCGGGGCCGGCAGGCAGCTGGCCAGCTCTGCGGCCCCGAGGCCACCCCCAGCTTGCGCAGGGGGCAGGAGGGCAGCAGCCAGGCAGGGCATGTCCACTGGCCCCAGAGCTTACAACCCCCCAAGATACTCTGCACCCGCCGACCGTCAGGCCCCTGGGTCATCCTGAATCCTCGCCGCCTGCAGCTGGAGCTGCCCCCCTCCCTGCTCCAGAGGCCATCCGTGCTGGCCAGGCCCAGCCCCAGGGTCCACACCCAGGAGCCCCCCAGAACGGCACACAGGCTCCTCGCCCACTGGGTCCCTCAGGCCCCATGCACTCACCCACTCACGGGCAGGAAGGGGCAGGGCGCTGCTGGTGCCTGCAGTCCCCACACGGGCAGGCGGCGCTCCCGCGGGCACAGACTGGGATGGTGCTCGTGTTATCAAATCAATTGGGAGGAATTGATCTGGGCAGATTTCCAAGCCATCTGCGCGCTCCCCAAAGTCATTCTGGAAGATAGGCTGTGCATCCAGGCCCCGGGGCCTGACCGAGGAGTGGCGGAGGCAGGCTGCACGGCCTCAGTCTCTCCTGGGGCACCCTGCCCTCACTGGGACCCTGGCCCCCAGGAGGGTGGGGGGCTCAGTCACCTGCTTCCGGTGAATCTGTTGCCCAGCTCTGCAGACCCTCAAGTGGAGGAGCTCCCCGGCCCCCAGAACTGGGCCGAGGAGTGGCGGAGACCCACGTGCCCCAGCCAGCTGTCCACTCCCGGAACCCGCCAGCCACAGGAGGAACTGGTGCCCCTGAGTCCCTGGGGCTGCATCCTGGCCCCCCACTCTCAGGAGGCAGGACGCACGGCCCCAACCTGGGACTCCACCCCAAGGAGCTGCCTGTCCTTCCCCAGCCCCACCTGTTTACATTGCCTGTGTCATCATCTCACCGTCCCGCTGCCCGCATCCCGCCCCGCCCCCACCCCAGCCTCACTCGGTCCACGCACCCTGGTCTGCACCGGCTTCGATCGGCTCCAGGGACGATATTTGCTTTGGGAAAGAGTCAAACATTCATTCTCCGATTTATTCAGGAGAGCGGGTTGTCAAATACAAGCACCCTCATTACACGATCACGTTTCCAGGGCTTGGCCTCTACCCGGCTCGGCACCAAGGCCCAGGCAGCACTGACCAAGTCTTTCTGTGCGCGGCACAGATCCGCCTGCTCCCGTGCCCTCTGGGGCTGGGGTACCGTCTGGGCAGACCCAGGAAGCATGAGCCATGGTGGCAGGAGCCAGCATTTTGGGGGTGTGGGCAGGACCTGCAGCCTGGGGGTGGGGCAGAGCTCCTCAGGAGCCTGGCACTTGCTGGCTTCTGTGCATGTCCACGCAGTGCGCCTTTCTGAGTGGCTGCTATATGCGCTGGGGGGGCTGCCCCCCAGCTGCTGTCTGCATATTCTCCTCCTTTGCTCCTGCCCCCTCTCCCAGACTGAGGCCAGCAGCAGAAGAGATGGTTGCAGATTCCTGCCTCCTACCTCCGATGGCCTCCCTTGGTGCCCCGGGGTCCTTCAGAAGGGGCCCCTCCAGACGCCTGTGCCCCCAGACCCAAAAGTCTCTCTCTCCATCCACAATTCGGCCTCGACACTCTCCCTCTATGCTTGCTGCCCCCCGCAATGCCCACTGTGGAAGCCGCAGCCCCCAGCACGTCCCTCGCTCCCCTAACCATCGGTCAGTGGTCAGCGACTGTGGCCAGCCAGGAAGGGAGATGCCCTGGCAGGGGGTGTGGAGGGGGTGGGTGGGTCTCAAGGGCTGGAGAGCGCTGCAATCCCAGCTGTCCCCTCTGCAGTTCCAGCCCCATACCCTGGGGGTGAGACATTCTGGTCATTGACCAGGACCCTGGGCCTCTCCTGCCTGCTCAGCGAGGACAGGCAGGCAGACGTGGCATCAGTCACTGCAGGACCACCCATGGCTCGCCATGCATGCTGGTCTTCTCACTGTGGGAGTGTCCCGGCCGCTGTGGGGGCACCTCGCAGGACCCCGGATCTCGGGGTGGCTGCTGGTGCCGGCTGCCCACTCACAGCTTGCTGGTCTGCATAAGCCCGTTGGCCTCAGAGCTGCGTGCAGGGACTGTGGCCTCCTGCAGCGGGCTGCTCTTGTGCCGCGGCTCCATGGCGTCCACATCCTCAGTGCCGTAGCCCTTGCGGAGGCACAGAACTTTCCGGAAACTCTGGCGGAAGTTATCAGAGAAGAAGGCGTACAACACGGGGTTGGCACAGCTGTTGGCATAGGACAGGATGACCACGAAGAAGTAGGCGCCAGCGGAGACGGGCTCCTCGGGCAGCACGAAGGCCAGGTTGACGATGTTGACGATGAAGAAGGGCAGCCAGCAGGCCACGAACACCACCACCACCACCACCACCATGCGGGTCACCTTGCGCTCTGACCGCCGCCGCGTGGAGCCCACGCGCACACCCGACGCCTTCACCTTCACCACGATGAGCAGATAGCAGAGGCAGATGACCAGCAGGGGCCCAAAGAAGCCGAGCACGGACGTGTAGGTGATGAAGACAGCACCCCACAGGCCCACGGGCTCCGGCCAGCTGAGGTTGCAGGTGTCTCCACCCTCCTGGACGTCAGCGAAGACCGCAAGCGGCAGTGCCATGAGCAGTGAGAAGGCCCAGACGGCAGCGCTGGCCAGCCTGGCCACCCTTGGGCGGCGCCACCGCGTGCAGCGGATGGGGTGGACGACGGCCAGGTAGCGGTCCACACTCATGACGGTCAGACAGAAGACGCTGGTGAACTGGTTGATGCCGTCCAGCGTCATGACCAGCCGGCACAGCACAGAGCCGAAGGGCCAGTAGGACACGGCGTTCTGCGTGGCCAGGAAAGGCAGCCCCAGCATGAGCAGTACGTCGGCCACAGCCAGGTTGAGGATGTAGATGTTGGTGACGGTCTTCATCTTGGCGTGGCGCAGCACCACGTAGATGACCAGCGTGTTGCCGCCCAGCCCCGCCGTGCACACCAGCAGGTAGAGCGCCGGCACCAGCACGGCCCGGGCCCCTAGCGAGCGCGCCGGCCCCGCCAGCGTCCCGTTGCCGCCGCCTCCGCTGGTGGCTGCCGAGGAGGTGTTCCAGCCGTCCTGCATGGAGGCTGGGAACAGGGGCTCCATTGCCACCACCTCCGAGGGCAGGTGCGCCGGAGCGTCCTCCCTGCAGAAGCAGAAGGGACACCTGGATGGGGCGTTTCCTGCCCCGCCTGCCCCGGGCTCGGGTTACCCCTGTGCGTCTGTAAACACTGTTACTCACTGGCGGGAATCACATTAGGCAAATTGTTTGGAAAAGGAGCCCAGAGAGGAAGGAGCAGGGGACAGGACTGTGGGGCAGTGGGCAGGTGGCTCGGAGCCCAGACATTGTCCGCTGATGCCCTCACCGTCCCGGGTGGCCTGGCAGCCTGCAGCCTGCGGAGCCCTGGGGTCAGGGCCCTGCCTCCCTCCAGGCAAGGGGCTGAGGGCCACAGAGTTGCCTCCCGGGAGCCCCACAGGTCAGGCATAGGGACAGGGGAGTCATGAGGCCAGGCCAGCAAGCCCCTTGCACCCAGCCAGTGCCCGCTGGAAGTGAGGCAACCCCCACACCCCACTCTCCTGGGTGACCCCCTGGGACCTCAGGAGGCCTCCAGGCCAAGGAGGCTGTGGCGGCTGTGCCAGTGCCCACCCAGCTCTCAGAAGCACCATTCAGGGGTGAGTGGCATCTGCGCCACCCCTCAGAGCCCAGGCCTGTGTCTTGGGGGGTTGGTTCCCTGCCCCCAACAGCTGCCAGCCAGCCACCCAGGGCCTACCACCCACTCCCCACCCCACTGCACTGCAGTGTCACCAAGCCAGGAAAGGATGGAAGCACATAAGTGCTGCACGAAGTGACGTCACGGCAACTGCGGGGACACGCGGGTCCCAGGGCGGGTCCCAGGGGCAGGGGCAGTTTCTGGAGCTCCAGGGAGAGCGTGCAGGATGGAACAGGCGGTCTCACAGGTAAAGGAGTGGACGCAAAAAAGGTACACGCACGCGGGAGGAGGTGTTGGGGGAAATCCAGGCAGCAGGTGGACGAAACGGCTCCCTGTGCCCATGGGATTCTGCAGAGACAGAGGCAGAGATGGGAAAATGTTACCATCTGCCACTCTCGGTGGCCTGCACGCGGGTATGTGTACAGTGACTGTACATTCCTATACGCTTGAAATAGTTCACAAAAATGGTGCTGCTCCAGAGAAGACACTGCCTGGATGCTGCGCTGTGCAGGCGCGCCGGGCTGATGGGAGCTGAGTGACACAGGGACCCAGACCGAAGGGCCAGGGCTGTGGCAACCCCCCCAGGAGCCCCACCCAGCGGGCCCACCATCACCTCAGCACAGGGGACACCCTGTGGGACCCTCCGTGTGGGGGGGGTCCCCTGGAATATGGTGGACATGGGGGCCCAGAGCAAACAACACTGGCAATTACAGAAGGAACCCCCCTGCTCCCCATGGACAGACACCCCGGAATTTCCACATTTACTCAGATAATGACACCAGGAAACCTAGAAAACCAACAGTAGTAAGGTGGATGGCAGGTTCACTTCAGGTGAAATGAATATCACGTGACTTAACAAGTACGCTCAAGGTACAAATCGTTATGTTTAGGACATCAGTAAGGCACTGGCAAAAATATTATGGAATAAATTTGGCTTCTGTCTAAGAAGTAAAATGAGCAAGTGCCTATTTTTGAAAATTACAACTCTTGGGTGTGAAAAATCATCGTTCAGACCAGAAAAACCTGCAAGTCAGGATCAGCTCAGTCTGGATATAGCTGGAGAGAGGATTGGGAAATGGGAAGAGGGGCTGAGGGACCCTCGGAGCCCGGTGCTGAGGTGAGGAGGCTGCAGGGGCCATTGTGTGCATGCCTGTGTGTGCACCTGTGTGCATGCCTGTGTGTGCACCTGTGTGCATACCTGTGTGCGCACCTGTGTGCATGCCTGTGTGCGCACCTGTGTGCATACCTGTGTGTGCACCTGTGTGCATGCCTGTGTGCGCACCTGTGTGCATACCTGTGTGTGCACCTGTGTGCATACCTGTGTGCGCACCTGTGTGCATGCCTGTGTGTGCACCTGTGTGCATACCTGTGCGGCCTACACCTACTGTTGGGAACTGGTCAGGGCTGACCTGCCGAGCGCTGGGAATGAGGAGAAAATCCTAAGGACAGAGGGTCAGGGCAACAGGCTCTGCCAGCCTCCCATGGCTGCCTCCCGGGGCTGGCTGTGTCCCTGCGCCCACAACCGGAAGAGGAGTGGCTGTGCCCTGGGCGCCACCCCAGGAAGGCTCACCAGGAGGGGAAGGTCGTTCTGTGTCCGGATTTGCTGCTCTAGCACCTGTACTCCAGGGACCTGACGTGCGGTGTGTGCCTTTAACTCTGTCTAAAACAGGCCAGTTTGTGATGTTTGGGGATGACTGTGTCCCTTGGGGTCAAGCCGGGTCCCTTGGGCAGCATCCTGGGTGATGGGTCAGAAGGTGAGACCCTGGGCTGGAACGAGACCCCCACGCTGCAGAGGGCTCCCCTGCTGTCTCCTAGGGCGCCCCACATTTATAAAACAAGGGGCTCTCGGCCCATTCTGCATGGGCCCTTGGGTGCTGGGTGGGGCGAGGGAGCAGCCCCCCAGAGTGTCCTGCTCACAGTGTGCGGGTTGACCGTGTGCTCTCAGGCACCACCAGCTCAGGGCGGCTGGTGCTCTTTGACCCTAACATGGAAAGTGGTGGCACCCAGAACCCAGAGCAGGCGGAGCAGGCTGCCCCAGAGCCCTGCCCTGCTATAGCCCAAACACCCATTTCCCGAGTTACACTTCAGAGCCATGAATGAAATTAGGCCACTGGCTGCAGGGCCACCGCTCCGGGAAGGTAATTCTGAAGAGCCATTATTCTGGAGAGGCGATCTTCTTAGTCATAGAAATTACACTTTCATGCAAAATTGTCCCTGGGGCCCTTTCTTCGTAGGTGGGCATTCAGTCCAAGGGGCCTGGGGGCTAGCCTTGGGGCTCTCCAACCAAGGGTCCCCCAGGGGAGGGGCTGCCTATACCCACTGACGTGGTGCAGAGAACAGCCCCCAACCCCTGCCCCACGCACCCCCGGCCCAGCGGTCTTGTGAGTCATGCCCCTGCCGAGCGCTGGCTTCCTGTGACCGCTGATGCGGTGAACAGATGAGATACACCCACGTGTGCAAGACGCTGAGCACAGTGCCCGGCACATGGAGGGCGCTCAGTGGGGGCTTCCTCTCACCTGCCCCAAATGGCCCAATATTAGGAAAGGCCCCTGCCCTGGGCTCCTCAGAGAAGGGGGCCAGAGCCCCCCAGGGGCCTGGGGACACGGCCTTAGCTCTGTGGCAGGAGGTCCAGGTTCTCCTACCCCTTCCAGGCTTGTTGGAGGAGCTGTGTCCCCCCCGAGGGCAGCCTAGCCCAAAGGTCTTAGCTGGGAGGCTGCAGAGCACGGTGCTCCCCAAGCCCGTGTGGGGTAGCATGGTGAAGAGAGATGGGCCCCAGCCCCACCCACATGAGGACCTCTCCAGGCCTGACACCCCCATGGGAGGCCGTGGCTCTGAAGTACAGCCGGTGGCAAACCTACTCCTGTCCCCCACCCCAAATATCTCCACTTCCCTTAGGGCAGCCTGTGGCCAGGAGCCAGGTACCCCTTCACCAGGAGGGGGATACTGAGGTGGGTGGTGCTGGCTTGGTGCAGAAATGGGTGGGCGGGGCGGCAGAGCCCCTTCCTCAGCCCCTGGGCTGCGTTTCCAAGGCCTCATCCTGCCCCAGCACACTTTTTCGGAAATCTGGGTCATTATTTTACCAGGAACAAGTGGTGGGCATTGCCACTGGTGCCATCCACCACCTTCTGCCCCCCAGGCCCCCACTCCTGCCGAGTGGCCGCCTGTCCGCCTGTCTCTCTGCTCTACCCAGAGGCGAGCAGCAGCCAGAGCTGCCTGGCTTTGTGCCGGGGTTGCCCCTGGCCCTGGGCCTCCCCCGGGACCGCAGGTCAGCTTACAGGCTGGGGACCTGGGCCGGGCAGGTGGGCAGGTGGGCAGGTGAGGGCCCCACGTGGGCCCTGGGTGGGGGGACCGCAGGCAGGCAGCCCTCCGGGAGTGAGCCCCCTTCTGCGGGCTTGGCCTCAGAGCACAGGGGCCAACCCCTGGAGAGGCGGGGACTCGTTCCCAAGGATGCTGGGAGCTGGCCCAGCGCTGCCCGCGTCTTCCCAGAGCTGGCGGCCCCCCATATCCCCTCGGGCCGCGGGGCAGCCCCACTTCGACGCTCCCGCGCCCTTGGCCGGCTCATGCGGTGCCCTGGACGGCTCTCCCAGCGCCCCACTGGATCCTGCTCCCGCCGCTTCCCGCACCCACCTCCAGCCACTGCCTCCGAACCCTCGCCAGCCGCGCCGCCCACCCTCCGCCGGCCCCGGCGAGCCCCACTGTGGCGCCCAGCGCGGGGAGGTCGGGCCGACAGAGGCTTCTGCCTTGACTCGGGCACACCCGGACCAGAGGGAGCGCGAGGGGACGGAGGGCTGAGAACGCGGGAGGCACCCAGGGCCGCGGCAGGTGCACCTCGGGTGCGCGCGGGCGCGGGGGAACAGGGCGCGCCGCAGGCGGGAGGCGCGGGCTTGCGCGCACGGTGGTGAGACCCCCGGAGAAGACAACAGGGATGGTGGTTAGACCCCCGGAGAAGACGGGAGAGATCTGCGCGGGACCCCGGCGGGAGCGGAGGGCGGGGGCGCGCGGCACTCACCCGGGCAGCAGGGAGCCGAGTGCGAGCGCCGCGCTCGCCGGGGCTGGGGCGGGGCGGGGCGAGCGTGGGGGGCGGGCCGGGCCGCCTGCGCCCGACGCCGGTCTGTCCTTCTGCACTTCTTTCCCGGAGCCTTCGCACGTTCCTCCGCGGTTCTGTCCCGTTGGCTGCGACTTGAATAAGAGGGGCGCCCTCACCTCATTCTCTTCTGGCCGCAGACTAGAGCTTGGGAGCAGGGGCCCTTGCCCCAGCTGATGCCAAGAGAGGTCCCCGTAGTTCCTCCTTAACGTCTGGGGAGGTTTCGCCAGGGGTCCCTACTCAGGGGGGGACCCGCCGGAGGCCAGTGTCTCAGACGGACGCCGTGGCGTTGAACCAGAGATATGGGGGTCAAGACGATGGTGGAGGGGCGGCCGGCTGGGTGGTTTGGGGATTCCCAAGATGCTCCTCCACTCTGTGGGGTCGCCCCTTAGCAGATGAGGCCAGGCCACCCACCAGGAGGCCAATGCTTTCCCGATGTCCTGCAAGGAACAGCAGCTGCAGCAGGCCCAGTGGTCCAGCTACCCAGGGCCTGCCGGAGGCAAGTGGCCTGTGCTGACGTCCATATGGCCCCGTGGGCCGGGTGGGTGGGACAAGGTGGCAAGCCAGGGCCAGGCTGCACGTCCTGCTTGGCCTACCCGCTGAGAAGGCGGCCTGCATGAGCACATGCATGTGGCCTGTACACACTCAGTGCATTCACACCAAAACTCCAGGACTGTTTAGGTGGGAGACACCCAGCTCCTGGCTTTCCCAAGCACCAGGCTGGCACCAGATGATACAGACATCACTGTGGACAAAGCAGACATGGCCCTATTCCATCAGTTCTGAATTGGGAGAGAAAGTAGGGATAAACCAAAAAAAAAAAAAAACTTAACAGAGGTGACTTTACATTATCATAAATGTGTGGGAGAAGCGGGACAACAAGAAAAAAGAGTAACAGGGCCAGGAAGGCCAAGGACAGCTTCTTTAAGGAGGGCCTGACTCCAGCAGTGAACAAGCAGGTAGGAAGAGATTGAGGCTGAAGGAGCTGCAGGTGCAAAGGTCCTGTGGCAGGAATGGGCTTGGCACGTTCATGTGGCTGGGCGGGTGACAGGAGGTGGCGGGAAAGGAGCCCAATGTTAGGGCCAGGCTACAGTAAGGGCTGCAATCTGACCCTGAGAGTGACTGGAGGGCCTTGGGGGGTCTGAGCATGGTGGGGACCATTGGATTTGTGTCCCAAGAACACAGCCAGGGGCCTCCCCACCCTGAATGGGCAGCTGTTCACCTGCACAGAGCTCAGGGTGTCTCTGGG